CATTAAAGTGCTGAATGACAGCTTTGATAAAAGGATGAAGGGGGAAGCAAAGTCCATTATCAAAAGCTGCCAGGAAGAAACAGACCTTCTTACGGACATGGTGAACATATGTGGTGTACTCATCAGGACTCCAGGGCTGAACCCCCGGGGGGAAACGAAAGCGAGCACTAAATACCTTCAGGTCAATAGGGGTAAGTCCACTGGAACCTACAAATTCAGCGTTCCTAAAGGCAGCCTCTATGCCTGAACCAATGACTCCCACATCACTCACCTTGCCTTTACCCTTGTTAGCACTAGGGGGTACACGAGAGGAAGATGAGGGGAGTTCCTTGGAGTCCACCTCGGTATTGACAGCCTCAATACCAGGGAAGTTGTCAATCTCATCACCTACATCCCCTAAATCAGAATCTCTCTCAGCAGACCTGTCGCCTAGGAGGGAAACAAAGAAGAGAGTTACTCCAGAGGAGGCAGACATGACTGGCAAAGAGAAAGGCAAGTCGAAAGAATTATAAAAAAGAGGAATACTAACTAAGCACTTCCTGATAATCCTAGGGTCAGCACTGTACCTCCCGATAATAAGAATTCGCACAGTGGAGTTCCAATCCACAAAGCGGGGAAGAGGAGATAGGCAACGATCGCGATTCCAAAAGAAAAAAAACTGAAAAACCCAGAAAAATAATGGCCACCTCGAAGTCGAGGGATCCAGAGTGCGGAAAGGCAAGAGAAAGAGAAAGGGGCAGAAGAAAGCATACCTAGACAGGGAAGAGAGCAACAAACAACAGCCAAAGAACAAAATTAGAGGAGAGGAACAAAGCAGGACTTCGAGTTGAACTCAGAAAGCACAGTCTGGAGTAGAGAATAAGGGAATCGCGTGGAGGAAAGCCCAAAAATCACAGAGAGAAAGAGCCGGAGACGAAGGTGAACAGCATAGAAGATGAACGGTGGTTTTGTATGTTTTCTTTTAGCCGTTTTGAGCATTTAAGGCTTGAAAGACGTGAGATGAGGTGTGCATGGGAACCAAGGGAGCCATGATTGCTACTATCGTCAAAAAGCCCCTCCCACATGCATCTCACATGCAGGCTAAGGTTAGCTAGGCGCAAGTCTGATCCAAGGTAAAAGCAGCTCTGCCCATGCCCAAGCTCGCTTGGGCCAAGTTCTAGGAGTGCAACTGATGATACCTCAAGATAAATCCCAAACACCAGCTCAGCAGGTCAGCTCAGCCCAGGAGGTCAAACTAGACGAACAAAACTCGAAAGAGTAAGAGCTGGAGGTCCCTTCGAGATAAGCAAGGGCAATAACAACCAAGGCAACAGCTGGGAGATCACGAGAGGTTCCTAAAAGCATTAGGAAGCAATAATCAAGGCACCTAATCTCCACCAACCAAGATCTTCTCCTATAATCAGGAAGAACCCCATGAAATAAGGGCAAGAATCTCGGCTAAGATCTCACTAAATAGAGAACAGCCCTATAAATACTATGTAACGCCTCCAAGGAAAAGGAGGAAACCCTATAGGCAAAAACTAGTCATTGTACTCTTGCAATCATCATTATCAAAAGACAAGAAGCAAGAGCCTCTATTAAAGAGTGAATTAACCGAGTTTTCGAGCTGATGAACCACTATATTTCTACTGTGTTAGTTCCTCAACTCCCCGACAATTTTCAGTATCATTCACTCGAATCTAGTAGCTCAGATCCCAACAATTCCACTATTGTTTCTTTCATTTACTCGTTATCACAAATTTGCTTCACGTTGAAATACACCATCAAGTTTAATCAACAATATGTAAACAATTTTGGGAGACAAGTAACATTAAGGTAAGGTAAGTACCCCTTACACACCGAAAATCATATGTTGGCTATTAGAGTGCAACAAACATAGGTGCTGAGGTCGAAAGCGCGGTAGAGTGGAGCACGGTCGGCAACAGCTCATAGAATGTTACCCTTTTCGAGAACCTAATATGCGACTTTTTACAAGAAATGACAAAAGAAAATCTTTAAAAGAAATCGTCGCTAACTCTATCCTATACAATCCTATTAATGGTAACCCCCAAAAAAAAAAAACATCACCCTCTATTTTTGAACAACCTTCTCTTATACCGCACTAAATATTTATATGCATTGTTTTTTGAGGTGAAGAGTTATCAAGTAGTAAGAACTCACACTCGTCCGTAGATAATTGCAGGTTAATCTCGTCCCTTTCACATCTCTCAAAAAAAAAAAGTTGCTCATTTCCTTCCATTTTATAAAATATTTAATTAAGTAGCTGTAATTCCAAAGCATTGGTAATGATCAATTAGATTGTTCCATGAACTACTAGTGTCTCAATAATTACCTAAAGCATCAATGAGAGGAGTGTTTTTAGCGTTCTTGAATTTTTAAGGATTTAAAGCTATCACTGAGCTAGTGGTCTAATGGTTTGCAGTGCTCCGTTTAGGGTCCTTTCTGATTTTCATGAGATTAACAAGCAGAATTTGATTAACGGAGACTCCTGTTGCTCCCATTAGTAGCTCTATGGTGTGGGAATTTGTGTTTGCGGTTTCCAGCCATCTAGGCCTCATTGGTGAGCTTCGCACATGAGTTCGGGCTGCTACGGTCACCCAGACAAGAGTTCCACTTTAGTTGTCCTTTTGAACCCTTTTTCAAGCAAGGAAAAAAAAAGAAGAAGAAGGATTTAAAGGTGTCCTTGCCCTTTTTGTGTTTTTTTAATATGAAGGTTTAAGGTAAGGGTGTGCTTGTTAACCAAAATTCAACACTTAAAATGAATATATTTAACACTTATTAATTAAGCTCGTTTGATAACTAAAATTTTAACCCTCTTAATATGTTTAGTGCTCTTTTAAAATAAGTTGCAATATTAAGTAAGAGATTCCTTACTTAATTCTAAAAGCTAAAAGCGCTCAGTAAAATAATCTTTAATAATATTTATAATATGAAAAATATACTCTGAAATATTTTACAGTTCTATTAAAACTTTAATTAGTATTATCTCCAAAACTCTTAATATATGTATCATTCTTGTTAATCGTCTTCTACAGATAATAAGTGTTCTTTTTCTTCTTCGTTTTTTTTCTTTGCTTGTTTGCTACAAATAATCATGTTGAAACATACACTCACGTTCACTCACCCACACACACACCCACACAAGGACTGTATATCCACCCACAAGCACAAATTGTGCACACACATACACACACACATATATTATTAATGAGATTTAATTTATTCTATTTTTTAATTCGATTATTTATTCATTTTTTATTTATTGTTATCCAATTATTTATTAGTTATTGTTTTTTTTTATCAGATGTTATTGCTCATTTATTATGATTCGATTATTTATTTGTCATTGTTCTTTTTTTTTATCAGATATTATTATTCAGTTATTGTGTTATTCAATTTATTATTGATTTGATATATTATTATTTTTTATTAGATAAAAATATATTTTTTAAAAATTTTAAATTAAAGAATGGAAGGGTAAAATTAAAAATTAATTATTTTCAAACGTCAGTTCTGTATAGTTATCAAATAGTTTGGTTTAACTCAGTATTTAAATTTCAGTGGATATCAAACAGTCCACAAATTCAATATTTAGTTTTCAGCTTTCATACTCCAACTTTCAGCTTTATTAAACACCACCTAAGTTGGATATTCTCATTTTGAAAGGTAAGTACATGAAAAGAAAGGTACTTTACAGCCTTGTGTAAAAATTGGCTTTGTTCATTTGTATGCACTATTTATGGTAGGGGTAAAAAAGATTTTATGACTTTTTTTAGCAGATGTACTTCTATCCTAATTATTTTAAAAAGTGTATTTTTATCCTATTAAGTTCTTAGGGATATACCGGCCTCTCTAAAGCCCTTTGTTATATATATCGTGCGCTGTCGGTGGGCTGGGCCACCTCATGGTGGCCCAAATTCTGCCCACAAAAATGGGCCATAGGACGGGTTTGAGCATTGATAGCAAACCGGTAGAATGTTTGGGCTTTTAAATCCTAGAGGGGGTAGCATAGGTCCCCTTGTTAACATAGAATTTTTGTGATATACATTTTACTTGCCCCAACCAACCAAATCAAATTTTATATCTCAATCATTTAAGATCGACTATATGAATTTGTTTTTTTCATTCACTTAGGTCATGTGTTAGATGCTCATTTAACTTAAATATTTTCATACTTTTTTATATTATTTTGTTTAATGTTAATTTAAATCTACCCTTACTCCCAGTATCATTAAGAAAATATGTGTTTTACTTATAAATTTTTGAAATTTCAAAAATTAATTCAGACTTTGCTCTTATATATGAGCTATCAATAACTCTATGTATGAAGACACTCTATGTTGAGAATTCAATTTCCTAATTATAATATTAGATATATTTTTTGGTCAATGAACTTAAATGTGAGATATAAGAGAAATAAGATATTCAAAATAACCTTGCAAGAGGGGTACAAGAAGTGCAAGCTTATGCTTGTGGATTACATTTACTAGTTATTGCAATTGCCATGTATAATTGTAGTTGTCACAAGTATCGTGAACTGAAATTAAGTCATAGGTTTTCTTCTCTTTTTTTTTTTAATTTGGTTATACATCGGTATGTCTAATCTATTTCTAATATAGTTTTCAATATACATGGACGTAAAAGTACTATATACATAACAACATTAAATAATTTGCCAAATTATCATTCAACCAATGATAATGAGAATGAGCAATGCCACAATAGCAATTAGCAAGATCTTGAAGTTTCTCTAAAATTACACGACTCACTACTTAAATAAAATCAAAAAAAAAGGAGATTGTTTATATCAAATCTCTCTACCTTTATCTATTCAAAAGTAAAAACCTTTTGATTTTATTGATAGGTAAGAAAAACCATTCTATAGCATATTGTACTCAATACGTACTATGTTTATGTAACAAAAAGTTATTCTTAGTTTGTAACTGTTTATATGTAGATAGGTATGCTCAACTCCGTACATAGTCTTGCACAGAAATTGATTAATGCGAAGGCAATGGTGCAGGAGAAGGAGAAGGAGAAGGAGAAGCCGGAAAGACAGTGCTGAAGAGCCGGTCTGCAAGAACTGCATTTGCGGCATCTGATGGATGGAAGGCATCCCAAAATACGTAATCTTTGCGATTTTTGCACAGTTTTGAGTTAGGCAAGCATAGCCCTCCAATACTTGTGTCCACATTGCAACACGAGGTGTTGGAGACCTTAAAACCTGGATACAAAACAACAAAAATTATGACTATTATTAGGAGTATTAATCGAGTCGAAGTTGTCAAGTTTAAGTGCATTCGTTCAAGCTCAGCTAGGTTACTTGTGACTGGAGCTTGAGCTCGGGCAAGTTCGGCTGTCGAGCTTAAATTCTTGTTAGAGCTCACACTTTTTAGGAAAAATTTTGAAAAAATTGGACCCACTTATTAATCAATCTTAAAATGATCAATTTCACATTAAAATCCACAAAGTTTAAAATAATCAACCAAAAACTATGAGTTCAAATTTTCCTAAAAAAACCTATTAGAGAAGGCAAGAAGAGAGAAATGTAGGATAGGTTTGAGTTGTTTCATCTTTTCGAAAAGAGATTGTTTATAATTACGGACATATTCGAGCCAATTGGGGAGCTACATGTTACTTGGATTGGGCTCATTTTCATGACTAGCTAAGAAATCTTATCCGATTTGGTTCATTTCGACAATTTTACAGTCTGAACGAGCCAAAACCAGCTCGAGTCCCAACGCTTGGATGATTCAAAAGTCACAACCATATTTCTCTTAATGTATATCTGTCATGAAGAAGAGAATTGAGCTTACCATANGCAAGCATAGCCCTCCAATACTTGTGTCCACATTGCAACACGAGGTGTTGGAGACCTTAAAACCTGGATACAAAACAACAAAAATTATGACTATTATTAGGAGTATTAATCGAGTCGAAGTTGTCAAGTTTGGTTACTTGTGACTGGAGCTTGAGCTTGGGCAAGTTCGGCTGTCGAGCTTAAATTCTTGTTAGAGCTCACACTTTTTAGGAAAAATTTTGAAAAAATTGGACCCACTTATTAATCAATCTTAAAATGATCAATTTCACATTAAAATCCACAAAGTTTAAAATAATCAACCAAAAACTATGAGTTCAAATTTTCCTAAAAAAACCTATTAGAGAAGGCAAGAAGAGAGAAATGTAGGATAGGTTTGAGTTGTTTCATCTTTTCGAAAAGAGATTGTTTATAATTACGGACATATTCGAGCCAATTGGGGAGCTACATGTTACTTGGATTGGGCTCATTTTCATGACTAGCTAAGAAATCTTATCCGATTTGGTTCATTTCGACAATTTTACAGTCTGAACGAGCCAAAACCAGCTCGAGTCCCAACGCTTGGATGATTCAAAAGTCACAACCATATTTCTCTTAATGTATATCTGTCATGAAGAAGAGAATTGAGCTTACCATAAGCAGTAGGATTGTTGATCAAATCCAAAACTGGTTGATAAGTATCTGCAAATGCTATTTGTGCAGACGGGAGATTCCGATTCAGAATGGCTATGAGATTTTGTACTCTGGAGTTGAATTGTANAACCATATTTCTCTTAATGTATATCTGTCATGAAGAAGAGAATTGAGCTTACCATAGGCAGTAGGATTGTTGATCAAATCCAAAACTGGTTGATAAGTATCTGCAAATGCTATTTGTGCAGATNATATTTCTCTTAATGTATATCTGTCATGAAGAAGAGAATTGAGCTTACCATAAGCAGTAGGATTGTTGATCAAATCCAAAACTGGTTGATAAGTATCTGCAAATGCTATTTGTGCAGACGGGAGATTCCGATTCAGAATGGCTATGAGATTTTGTACTCTGGAGTTGAATTGTAGAGCCCATTTATTGACTTGCTCTAAGCACTGCCCTCTCCTTGATTTCACTCTCTGTGAAGGAATGCAGCCAAGCGGTCCGAGGCTATGGAACACCATTTTTCTTGCACCAAGTTGGTGCAGCCTCTAACCACAAGATCAGATTGAAGTTTCACAGATGATCAGAATTTTGTATATAAGTTTACTGGTATCTTATTATGTTAATTACTTTCTTTCTAAATCCAACATTAAAAGAAGATAATTCATTGATCATATTCTATAATTTTCTATGTTGATGTTGAAAAATTACTCTAATCATTTGCTGTTTACACTTGCAGCTGCAAAACGAACTCTAGATGTACACAATCACGTGCAAATCATGCAGGTTAATCGAGCCTTAAACTTACAACTTTGAGGTATTGCATTACAAAACCTTTCTATTTGAGCAACATATCCCAGGTTTTTAAGGTAAATAAAGGGAATTATAATTTAATGGTTTTCACCTTTTGTTGGACTCAAATTAACTTAATCGTTTTTGGAATTGAATACTTAAAATCCAAAAACGTGAAGATCAGAAAAAGAATGGCGTAGGGTTTTGTTCACCGTAAGCTGTCCACCAAGTGTTGAGGTTAGAAGTCCTAGAAACTCCTCGTGTGTGTACTGCTGACCATCAGGTAAAAAGGGTTGCAGGAAGTTGTTGACATAGTCATTGCTCCCTGAAAATTTCAGAGGGGTCAAACATTTCTCACAACATGCAGATATGCATCAAAACATAATAATTATGTTTTTTTTTCTTATATTGATATATAAGAGCATCTCCAACTATGACTCAAATTTTTACTCAAATGAGAGAGAGAGAGACAGAGTACCAAGTCCAATGAAGTACACGGCTTCATTGAAAAGTTTGTTTGCAGCCTCTACTCCAATTTTAGTTTTGATGACTTTCGTTGTATTCTCAAAGTAATCTATTTGATCATCAAAGGATAACCTCTGAATCTATAATGCAGAAAATATCACAAAAATCAATTAAAATCATCAAAAAAATACATTATATAATAGGTTCAATGGGTAATATAGGAGAAAGAGGGCATAGTGATTACAAAGTAGAGGCCAGTTTCATTGAGAATTCCAGCTCCACCAGATGCATAGCTAACCCCTTTTAAAATGGCATCATCGTTGGGTGACAAGGAAAGGTAAGGTGGCGGTGACGAAATCCCAAGCTTTTCAGCTAAATTTTTAACAGAAAATTTTATCAGTTCTCAGATATCATAAAACTATTGGCAATATTTCAGTGATTGAAGTTGTAGATAAAAACCAATATTAAGAAACTAGCTAGATTACAGTACATATTATATCACCGATCGTTCGGCCATTTGTAAACCTTCCGGTGGCCCGTCCTCCTACATAGTCGATGCCATAAAAGGGGTAGTTTGATTTGGCTAGAGAGAGTTGCAGGAAGTTATTGTTCCCAACTTCTGTCAAGGAGTCACCAAACACAAATGTGACCAGAGATGCTACTGAAGGTGAAGCTATAGCTGTGATGATCAAGAGAGAGAAAGCTACTCCCATCATTGCCATCTTTTTCACTTCTTGTTGATTCTTGTTATCTGGAGTGACTGACATACAGGGTTTTATAGTGTGTTTAGAAACTGTTTATTGTCATTTTAGTCATGCCCAAGTCTATAAGTTTGAACATATTAGGTGAATATTTTCTCGTCATGGAAAGTCTTAGAAGTTAGAAGCATGAGCCTGAAATAAAATACTCCATGTGGGTTTAAGCTCAAATTTGTAAGTCTTGGTAGTTGGTACTGGTAGTTTCTCTATAATGGCATTGGCTGGCCCTTTCTATCAGTTGGCCAACATACCTCATCAAAGTCAGCAGAGTTAGTGCTGTTAGGTTTTCTCCCAGAAGGGCAGTGCCATGGTTCTCCTTTAGGCAGGACTAATTTCCTCGGACCAGACCAATGGCTAACTGATCGTACTAGAGCACAAAAGGACAGTTACTTGTTAATTACCTAATTCTACCTTACTCAAGACTTGTAACCGACAACGTAAAAGTAAAAGACAGAGATTAAACGCAATATGAACTATCAATTTGCTATGCTTTGTTGAATTTTCATTATATAAGAAGTCAATATGGAATGATCTCAAAGCAGGAGGCTTGTTGTAACCATGTAAAAGATAGAAATTAAGCACAACATGGATAGAATTTGCCGTCAATATCTAATGAAGTCAGAGCAAGTCAACTACCGTTAAGAGGACCATGAGCATAAGCTTAAATTCCAACTTTGGAGTGTTTATAACCTCAGAATCAACAAAAATAGGCTAGTTTCTCATGTTATATACAAGAAATTCTACTAAATACACTAGTAGCACAACTATCATTTTGTTCATCATCTAAATAGCCCAAAAAAGCAATCACATCCATCCAGTTTTTGTTCATTATGTTGCTAAACACACAGCTGAGACAATGCCGCTTTCCAGAAGGATAAGAGGAAGTAATTATACAAAATGGTCATACATACCAAATAGTTTACCATACTAAAATTTGTTCATCTCATTTGCTTACCGGATAATCGTAGATTGTCATATTAGTGAACTCAGGAACCACCCACTTACCCAACCAAATTATATTCGTCTGGTAATCAAAAAGGAGTTCACTGTTTATTAGACACATTACTGATAACCACAGATTATAGAGTGCTTCGAGAATTGATATAATGCTTCAACAGATATATGTTTAGCATATGTTCCCAGAAGGAAATCTTGGATGGAATCACTATTACGTAGCACCAGCACCACTCCAGCTCCACCCGCCATATGAATCACAGCACATGTAGTCCCTCCACTGTACCAATCACCACCACTTATCCCTCCATTTTCATACACAATTCTCTCCAAAACATTGGTTGTCAGCTGTGCTTACTACATCCAACAAACAAGTAGACTAGCACATGTGAATGGCTTCTGGGGAAGCAATAATTTAGGATTTACATAAACAGATCTTGCAACTGCTTCATTAACAAACTAAATTGGTTTCTAACAACACTCATCCATTCAAAAGCAACGGAAATAGAGCCAAAAAAACAAAAAACACACGAGAAATTAACCATTTGTAGTTTGCACAACTAAGAAAGCTACTTCAGAAAAAATACTTCCAGGTTTAAGCTTGCAGCAGTAGGAACCTATTAAATTTGCATAGCTTCAGCATGATAGTTCTCCAGGTCCTTGTCCAGTTGGTCCGCTGACTTCTCAACAGCTTTCTTCCCCCCATGANAGCTTGCAGCAGTAGGAACCTATTAAATTTGCATAGCTTCAGCATGATAGTTCTCCAAGTCCTTGTCCAGTTGGTCCGCTGACTTCTCAACAGCTTTCTTCCCCCCATGGCCACGTCCTTGGACTTGTCCTTGGACTTGACCACGGCCTTGACCACGTCCACGTCCGCGACCACGACCACGACCACGTCCCCATCCACGGCTAGTCCCACTCCTCGAGCCCCCACGGCGGTTCTGACTACATTAAGAGAGAGCACATTTACTTTTTTTAATTCCTTTATGACACCATACAACACTGCAACATATAAATTGACAGTACATATTCCTGAATACAGCAGAAGTGTAGAGTATCTAATCGAATATGTATCCAGTCTCTTCACGACAAAGGTATTATTTCAACAACCAAAAAAAAAAGAAACATATATGACCTAGTGCAGTATTGAAGCCGTAAAGAGGATAATCAGCAACAACAATAGAATAGCTGCACTTCATAATATTAGGGATGGTTGGAAAGTCATGTAGTAATTACATATGTCCCAATGGAATAAATTTCTGTTTGACGAGTTTCATTGTTGAATGTGATAATCATAATTTTTTTACTTCAAGACACTGCACCTGCTCGGCAACAGTAATAGTTAATTGGCAGTGTATTCGCAGATGATATATATAACTTCTGCCTCTCCCTCGATAATAATATTAGACACCCATGACAACTCTATCAAGGTTAGCATATATAGACAGTTACCTTCATCACTCCCTCCCTCCCTCCCTCCCTAACTGCTACTGCTCTCATTCTTTTTTGGCTTTATTACCTTTGACCTTGATCCCCCAGACCTTGTTTTTTGATCTAGTTCTATTTAAAATTTATAGAGGCAATTGAAGGATAGTATTATCTTAATAAGTACTAAAAGGAGAAGTATGTTTTACTATATGAACTTCATTATTTTTTTTCCTCTCACACATCAAAACCAATTGTATAAATTACTGGCCCAGATCATTTTGTAAACCTTCCTCTATGGCAAATCAAAAAACTTTAAAAGGGGGAAAATTGGCAAGAACTCATTTCCACACATCAGAAGGTTTTCATCTTAAGGTCCTCAATTGATTGAGGGTGCTAGGAGCGGTAGAAAACCAGGTAACAACCTGATATTTACAGAACATATTAAGCTACTTTCCAATGATCATCCTTGATTATTTCTTCACAACATTCATGAAAAGAGAAGACTGCTAAAAAGCCTTTCATGGTTTGGAATCCCCTTAATTTGTCTACTCCCAATAGCAACAATGAGAATGAGGCTATTCCAGGTAAAGACCAAGGTGGAAATAGCCATACCAGTGTTATTTAAGACGTAAAGCGAATCGAAGCGAACCGGTCTCTTGAGAGCCTAGGCGAGAGCGAAGCGAGCGTTTCATTAAAGCAAAGCAAATAATATAAAAAATAAGTAAATATTTTAATTTCATACTTTGATTACTCCAAAATATTCAAGTTTTAACTTTACAAATATAAAATATTTAAATGTAATCAAAATAATAAACATCAACATATTTTAAATAGACAAGATATTAAATATTGAACATTATTGTATTCTAAAAATAATCAATTGACATAATCATGTCATCTAAATGTAAAGTTAGCAAATGTAGGTTCGATTTCTACCGCGATTAATTAATATCACCACCAAACAAAGCACTCACAAATTGATTAATCAAATAGAGCATATAACAAATTGATTAATCAATTTGATTAACCAAGCAAATTGATTAACAAAAGCATTCACCTCAAAACAAAGCATTCAACCGTATCTAATCATAATAAGAAAAATTGTCATATGATACTGTTACACGAATCAATCAATTTATTTTATACATATAAATATATAACATCATCTCTGCTAGGATTTGGTTAATGTTAAAGGAGGAGGAGGAGAAGGATGAGGGAGGAAGAGGAGGAGAAAATAAAAAAACTACAATTAGGCGTTCGTTTTTCTCACCTGGCTCGCTTATTCGCTTCGTCGCCTAAGCTCACTTTTTTCTTGCTTTTTTCTCGCTTTACTTAACCTCACTTCGCCTTGGATGTTCAAAACAACCAAGGCTCACTTCGCTTCGTTTCTCGCCTAGGCTCGCTTTTCATAACACTGAGCCATACAACAAGTGAAGGAGGAACTAAGACAAATGAGGCATCCATGTCCCACATGTCAGATCCCAACCCAAGCTCAAGCCAAGCAACACTTGGATGGCCCTAAAATCCACTCAACCCCACCCCCCCAAAACCCAAAAAAAAAAATACACAGCATAAAAAGTCTCAATTTCATAAGCAATGCGAACCAGAAAATCATTTTTTAGGAGAAGTGAGATTTGGCAGGTGTAATCCTAGCTGATAATAGTTTCTAGCAGGAATATATGGCTCAATTATCAAAAAAAGAAACCCACAAAAGTAAAATGCGTGTTAAGCATTTTAGATTTGTGGAGTATATCTAAAGGTCACAAAATTATGGTAACCATCTAAAATTATTCTTATGAGACCCTGAAAGCATTTTGCTCGTAAAAGACTTTACCTCGCACCACGATTAACAGCAGCAGGGCCTTTAGCACGACCTATACCAATGCCTGGCCTGCAAGGATGGTGATCTCAGTAGAATACTTTACTAGCTCCAAAATCACACGCATTGAAAGAAAATGACAACCCAATAAAAAAATACTCTGCAAAAAACACTTGTTAAAAATGAAAATAGGATTATTAGAACAGAATATTCACAAATTACAGAGGCAATATCTAGAAAAAAGAATAACAGAGAATGGTCAATAGAATTATAAAAAAGCGACGATAACAAAAATTAAAGCATCCCATGCACAGCAAAATAAAGAAAATTGAACAACAGCATTTTGATTTGCTCAAACAAATTTCTTTGACAACATGCACAAATGAATCAGATGAGCAAGAGAGAAAAGAAAAGAGAGGGGGTGGGGACATTGGATATTCTTGAAGATCCTTATCTTTGTATAAATATCCAGCAATACTCCCAACAAAAATTCATGAAAAGGTAGACGAATCGCTAGATCTGAACAAGTAAAACAGCTGTCAAATGGAACTTTGGTTACCCAAGAGGGAGAATTCTGAGTAATTGTATTTCACCTCTTTATGGTGGCCTTAGTGGACTTTATAGCTATCCCCCCAAAAAAAAAGGTCTGAGTGATTAAGTTGGCTAGTCAGTCAATAAAAATGAGGCACTTGGTTCTTGGGTATCCAATTTTTCTTCTCCAAGAGGGATCATAATCACTAGTGTTCCATCTTGAATCGATTGTCTAGTAGAACGGATCATAGCAGCAATCCTAGGCTTGCTAGGAAAGAAATAATGGAGATCCATGAACAGCAATGGCAGAAGGAAGGCTACAAATGGCATTTAAGAGCTGAATGATACAAATAAAAAAGAACCATCTGAGACAAAACCCTGCTACCTTTAAACTAAATACAGACTCTTGACTTGCTTCTTAAATCACAAACAGAACACAATAGAATCTCATGAAACTTCACAAAACATATTTTTATGAGCTTGGCAAGTGTTTATAAAACCTTTTTTTTGAAGTTGTTAATAAAATAAAATGAGATCTTGCAACCATCAATAGGCAAATGGATATATTATACATCACAGAGAATGGCATGTGCTTCAGATCAGCAGCTAATCGATCAATCTTAAGAAGAAGGAAACCACATTTATTTCAAATCTTGTGCTGAGAAGCTAGTTTAAAGTAGGTATTACCGTATTAGCACATTTGACCCGCATCCCTCCTCCCAAGAACACTCAGAAAAGTAACAGGGAAATAAGATTAAAAAAAAGGGCAGATACAATTACATACGTCATGACAACTGTCCGTGTCCTTCCATTTGCTCCTCCAACAACATTCACACGAGCCGAAATAGGAACCTCTGAGTTCACGCCAAAAATCTCTATCTTCATAGGCTTCCCATCCAATTGTACATTATTATATCGCTTGAGAGCTTGAAACGCATCATTTCTTCTGGCAAACATTACTTCAGCTGAACCCTAAAACCAAGCAAAGTATATTACTACTGTCATTAGGAATGTAAGAATGACATTTAAGTGCACCAAAACACTATGCCACTGGAAAGCAAGCAGATTAAAACTCACAGCACAAAAAGACACCAGATATAGGTACTAACATACCCATAAGACAGCAGAAAAGACATTAAAAAAATCAAATAACAAGAAGACAGAGAGTTATTATCATACACTCACTGACTTACCCACCCAAGCCAATTATAATATAAAACTAAGCACCAAACCAACTACAATCTGGTCCAGCAAACAAGTTGCCAAGAACTTGGGTTCTAATAATTCTTGTATTATACCACAATAAGGCTACAAAGGGCATGCATAGGTAAAGAGGTGCAGGTTGATGACATGGAAGGAATGTTCAACCTGGAAACCCCCTAAAATCATGAAAGGAATAAATGACCACATCACCAACACATGCTCACTCCAAGTATAAGTACATATCGTGGAATAGCACTGACCCTTTTCTGGATTTTCAAAAAATAATACACTAATACCNCAAGTTGCCAAGAACTTGGTTTCTAATAATTCTTGTATTATACCACAATAAGGCTACAAAGGGCATGCATAGGTAAAGAGGTGCAGGTTGATGACATGGAAGGAATGTTCAACCTGGAAACCCCCTAAAATCATGAAAGGAATAAATGACTACATCACCAACACATGCTCACTCCAAGTATAAGTACATATCGTGGAATAGCACTGACCCTTTTCTGGATTTTCTAAAAATAATACACTAATACCTAAGTATACAAATATCTAGAGGTGTTTCAATGATGTTAATCTTGAACTGCATAAATTTTGTTTCAAATTCTAGATCAGATCAACATTGTGTTCAAAATTCAAGATATAATAGACAGTGTGCCGACACTAGTAAACAAATGCATGGGTGTTACGTCCAAACATTAAGGTTCCACTGAGAAATGCTTAGGTTTCCAAAATACACTATCAAACACCAAATGCTCAACCAGAGAGCTTAAGTTTGAACACTTTGGCATAGATGCAAAGTATAACATGTGAGAAAGGGAAAAAAGGGGCTTTTCCAACATGCCAACCATGGATAACAAGAAAAAATGGTCATGTGATTATTGCATATGTGCAGGTTATTGTGCACGCATATGCTTGTTTGTGAGTTATATACATGTACCAACTTCTTTCACACAGGGTTGGAAGTGCACATTACAAAAGCAAGCTCTACATTTCAAAAGAAATCAACCTTTAAGACCTTTTTCTTGCCATTATCCGTCTGATAGATCAAGACAAAGAATCAAGAAAAAGAGAAAAAAAAAAAAGATATAGACACNTGAGAAAGGGAAAAAAGGGGCTTTTCCAACATGCCAACCATGGATAACAAGAAAAAAATGGTCATGTAATTATTGCATATGTGCAGGTTATTGTGCACGCATATGCTTGTTTGTGAGTTATATACATGTACCAACTTCTTTCACACAGGGTTGAAAGTGCACATTACAAAAGCAAGCTCTACATTTCAAAAGAAATCAACCTTTAAGACCTTTTTCTTGCCATTATCCATCTGATAGATCAAGACAAAAAATCAAGAAAAAGAGAAAAAAAAAAAAGATATAGACACGCGAAAGACGCATGTTTCAGAAACAAAAGGATAAAAAAAGTAAACAAATCCACAAAATTCTTGCCCTTTAAAATATAGAAACTATTTTGACCAAAACTAGAACAATTATCGAGGAAGATATACTCGCAAACCGTTGTATTCAGATACAGAAGGCAACATTGACAACACAAGCACATTAGTAGTAATAAAATGCCTTCTTTCCTCTTTCTTCACATATAATTTATTTCATGAAATGCAAGTATACAGTATATTAAACATACATCATACTGAAAAAAAACAAGAACAAAGGAGCACCACTACTAGTGTAGCGAAACGCTCAAAGAAGAGAGGTAAACCAAGTAAAAGAAGAACAGCAAGAGAGCAATGAATAAATAAAACCCTAACATAAACCCAAAAAGAACCGAAGCAAAATACAGGTACTAAGCTTTGAAACTTACACTTGGGCGGCCATTTTTGTCATAATGAATTGCATAACGTTTTAGTTCCCCAATCTCAGAGAAAAGTTCCTGAATTGCAAGTCCATTTTCCAGAGAACGTCATAAGAAATCCATCAGAAAGAAGCATTTAATCAGAAAAAACATGCCTCAAGCTGTACCCTTATATCTTCATTGGTCACTCCAATGTCCAAGTTGGAAACATATAACTTTGTGCCAATTTCTAATCCTGGTAACCCTGCAGCTCTAAGGCTATCTTCAAACAAACCAGGCTGCCATGGCAAACTCTTGGGTCTGCGGAAGGACTGATGCAAGCATACCAAAAACATATCCAGGTTGGGAAAAGCAAATGTCAGCATATGAATATAAGATAATTCACCGTTCTTCAACAGATAATCAGATATCATCTCAGGAGCAGAATCCATTGACATATAAATGCTCATGCAATTAGATATTCTAAAATCGACTGTAAAATTCAGATATAGTACGGATTATAGATGGGAGTAGAGGATTTGACCCACTGCATATAAACTGGTGTTATGCTACAGGAGAGAGCTCCAGTTCTGAAGTTCAGCGAAGGAAGCCCCTTAGCAAATCGCCATGAACTAGTACAGTAACTGAACATCTCGCCCCAAAAAATTCCACATATGGCAATAGGATCCATCATAAACTCCCCGTCTAAAGCAGTAATTGCAAAACTAAAGTGACTGGAACTAAATAAGAAGAATTAGGGATGGGTTCAGAATTTTCAACCCCACTAAATGTTAGCAGATGCTAAATAGGTGAGATCTCAAGTTGTTAAGTCATCTAATGAAGCTCCTCTACATATAAAGCTACAAAGTAGCATTATAACTGAATGAGGCCAGCAAAAGAACTTCCACTTGTGTCAAAAAGCTCCACTGCGAAGTGCTGAATACAACCCACAACAACAGAAAACCATGAAGATCTCAAGTATAAATGCATTGCAAGGCCACAATGCTTTTGCGGCTGAGTCAAAGTGAGCTTCTCCATGAACTAATAGTAGAGGGACTGATCCTTTCAAGTTTGAGTTACAAAAGTAATCTTAGAGATCCTCGTATTTCGATTACTAAAGCATATCAGATTCTCTAGCAAATGTATTAGAGATCCATAGTTTCGAGCTTGCCTTGGCAATGGTATACGCTGAAGGCCGAGTATTCACTCCGAGTGGGCCTCTACGAGGAGCCTGAGTCATTCTTCCACCACTAAATGACCCTCCAGACCCTCGGCCACGTCGGCCCCTACCTCGTCCTCTGCCTCTCTCGTTAGTACGCCTGCTCTTTATCATATCATCAAGTGACATATCCAAAGTAGCCATTGAATTTGCAGATTAAGCAAACCTCTTCCAAAGAGAATAAACCTGAAGAATAACATACATAAGCATCATTTTGAACTTCTTATGACACAAAAAATTGTAGCATGTCATCTTAGCACAAAATGGAATCACATATAGGATATCCCATAGGAAGAAACTTTATCCAAAAGACACACCCAACAACCGATCAATGTCAATGTCAATGTCAATGAAAAATTGGGCAAGTGATGCCAGGAAAGGTAATGGTATTTTTTATGCATGACTGATGATTCTTGTCCAAGTGATCAATGAAGTACACATCCTTCATAACTTGACCAAAAATACAAGATGATAAAAAGTAACATGATAAATAACATTTACTAGGGTATGCACAACAATTACAACATGATAACCAAAAACAAAGAAACTGGTGGTAAAAATGGATCGCTTCTATTTCATGGCAATTCATGTCCCCTACACTGACCGGAAAGGTTCAAGGATTTGCACGCCAATATGCTTAAAAATAACTTAGCGCATTATTGCGCAAGACAGCCCATTAAGAATAAGCCCTGGAGAAATGAGTTCAGGAAGTAGCAAACCACAGTTGAAAATAATCGATTGGCCACCACAATGATTCGAAGTGTAATAAAAAACCAATAACAACCCCTTAGAAAATAAAATACTAATTAACTACACCACCATAATTCTGTGTGACAGAGAAAAAAAGAGGTTAAAGCACGAATATATAATTTCACAAATCAAACCAATTCAAAAAGGAAACCACAATTCAAAAAGATTTGCACGCAAGTCATTAAATTTCCAAAAGTAAGCAACAAATTTAAAAACTTAAACCACGAAACCAAAAAAAAAAGTGAGGACCAAAAAAGAATTCCGCCGAGCTCCCCCAGACTAAAACTTCGTTAATCATTTTTTCAAACACAAATGGGTAAAAACAAGACAGTAAACATACAACACATCGAGCCCGGAAGCAACCAGCCCCGAATTTTTACGTAAAAATAGACATACATATCAAATCCGATTTCTGTATGAACAAAGCAGGACACAATAAATCAAAAAATGAGAAATATACATACACATACAGGTACATATATATTCACATAGAGATGTATACACACACACGTATAGCCCGGATATCGGAATATGAAAGGAATCAGGAGAGAAAGAAAGTACCTAGAGAAGTAAATCCTCCACAAGAACGAGCACGAACAAATCTGCGATCTTTGTTTACAGAACTTCGTAGGAAAATGGTACGAACAAATCAGAGATGATGGAAACACCAGAGAGAGAAACGGAGGAGATAGATCGATGGAAGGAGTAGGGAGAAAATTTGTAGAGATCTGATCAGAGCTTGGGGAGATTCATCGATATAGATCGAATTGGGAGCCTGAGATGACAGTGTGTTTAGGGTTTGGAAAAAGGGGCAAAAGCTTTTGAGGCTTTGGTGAGAGACACGGGCTTTTATGTAGGGATGGAAGGCGGTGCTTGGAGGAGTAACTTTATATTGACTAAATTACTCGAATGCCACTAAATTATTCCACTTGTTCCAATTAAGCCCCTCAACTTAAATTTGTCTAAATTTAACCCTCAAACTTTTGAATTTAATTCAGTTTAGCTATTCCATCCAATTCCATTGGATTTTCTTTTCTTTTTTTGGTAAGGGGAAGAGGGATTTTCTTATATTACTAGTATTCTATAGGGCATTGTCTGTACTTTGTCAAACCATTAGATAATTGTGAACAGAGTATTATATAGGGTATTGTTTGTACCTCGTCAAACCATTAGATAATTGTGAACATGTATGTGTGTCTAAATAGAATTACAAGAAAATTGTTTTACAATGCAATAATGACACCTGAAGGGGGTGGCTCCTTTTATTACATGTGTTATAATATTAAATGAACTTACGTGAGCATGACAAGACAAGACACGTAAGAGAGGCATTGGTCACCGAGTCAAATAGGCCTAACCAAACTGGCCAATAAACTCGGCAAGCAGAGAAAGAGCTCGATTCTTGCCAAACTGTGTTGTCCAAGGAGTTAGGGAGTAATGAGAGAGCTCGACACTTATCATGACCGAGCTGTTTCAAATAGAAGATGGAAAGATAAAAGATTCGCCTATAACTTAGGCATCCAAGATAAGCTGATGAGCTTGATTCTAGACCAAGGGAACTGCCAGAGAGATTTCAGCAACTTCCCAAACTGAATCACAAAATGGAAAAAAGGTGTGTCACCTTAAAACGAAAATCATAGAAATCCTAACCAGGGAAGGGGTCTATAAAATGAACAAGGAGTCATGGTAAAATGTACGCTGAACTCTCCTGGTCTTCTATTAATTATTTTTATTCTATAACCGACTTAAGCATCGGAGTGCTTCCGATCGAAGTACTTCGATATTGGATAGTTTGTTGGTTTTACAAAACAGAAAGATTGGAGGATCAAGTTCAAAATCAGAAATATCAAATTCACTCTTTAGTGAGAGGTATCATCGATTTTTATCTCTTACATTTTTTGGCGCCGTCTGTAGAAATTTTTCTTGATTCGAAACAAAAAGCTACGATGTCAAGACTCAGAAGTGCCATTGGATCACTTGTAGGCAGCTTTACCTTGGGAAATTCTGATCCAATATCGCTTCCATCTGGCAGCAACGTTAGGTTGCATGCCAACAGAAGCTCATCTAGACCTCACAAAGATGATAAGGTATCCTCAGCAAGCTTCAAACCATCCAGGGATCAGAATCAGTAGAATGTAGGTCGTGGAGAATCCCTCCGTGCCAAGGGGGAGAACCACTCCTTGGCGAAATTGGTCCAATCCGTACAGGACAGACTGGATGCGAACGACAAATTATTTAAGAAATCCTACGCCAAGGAGAAGGACCTGATAAAGGAGAATAAAGAGTTGAAAGCCAAGCTGAAGGAGATGACCAGAAAAGAGAAACGTGAGAGAGACAGCCGATGAAAAAGTCCCGAAAAGAAACATGACAGAACCAAGAATAACAAGGATGATAAGTACATCACCGAAGAACTGAACAACCGCTTGAGGAGGCCAGAGTAGAGGTCAGCTAGGGACCTAGCCAGAAGGATGACCAGAGAATATGGTGACGGCTCAGAGTCATCTCCCTTTACTTTGTGGATTGAAAGGGGTGTATTCCAAGTAAATTCATCATTCCAAATTTCAAGCTTTACAATAGAAAAATTGACTCAGCTTCCCGCATCAGACATTTCAAACAACTGATGACCATTCATCGATGGAATGAACCCCTATTCTACACAATCTTCCCTAACAACCTTGGGGAGTCGGTCATGAAGTGGTTCGATAGCTTGTCGAAGGGATCGATAGATGGATAGTCACAATTGGTCGAGCAGTTCATAGCTCGGTTCATCACGAGCAGTAAGCAGCCAAAAAGATGTGGGGGATCTGTTGACATTGAAGAAGAGGAATAATGAACATTTGCGAGAGTATGTTCATCGCTACTGGGAGACGATGAATGAGGTTGAAGGATGGAATCCTAAAATTACAGTTACATCATTTAAAATCGGGTTGCCAAAGAAAAATTCGTTCTACCAATCACTCACTAGGAGGCCAGCGACAGACCTGGAAGAACTGATGGCAAGGATCAAAAAGTATGTCAAAGTCGACGATGACCTATCCAGGGATGTGGTTAAGGAACATCAAGGCAGGAGATAGTTTGGCCGTGATAAGCAGACCGAACCAAGCAGGGAAGGGGGAAGAAAGAATGCGAAGGAAAGATATCCCTAGAAGTCCCATTTTCTTAGGGTAAATTCACTGTTCAAAGAACCCATATACAGGATATTGAATCAAATCAAGGGAAAGCCATTTTTCAAGTGGCCTAACAAGTTGACAGGGGATCCTAAGAAAAGGAATTCTAATTTCAGATGCTCATATCATCGGGATGTAGGTCACTTGATTGAAAATTGCCGATCTTTGAAGCAGTATTTGGAAGAGCTAGTCCAGGCTGGGCATCTCACCGAGTTCATCGAAGCTAGTGCAAGAGCCGACAGGGGAAGGCCCGAACCAAAAAGAGATCAGAACACACCAATAGGGATAATAGATGTGATCCATGCTGCAACGAATCCACAGATGTCAACAAATAATGTAGCCAGGGTATACATTCAGAAAGCTGCAAAAGAAATAAAAGTCTATCAGCTGCGACTAACTCCAAAGGTAAGGAATAAAAGGATTAAGATGGAAGAGTCGACCGAGGCCATCTGTTTCACTGAGCACGATTTGGTCGGGGTTCACCAGCCGCACAATGACGCGTTGGTTGTAATGCTTCAGATTGCCAATTACGATGTAAGGAGGGTTCTGATTGACTCAGGGAGTTCCTCCGAAATTATGTACATGGACCTCTTCAACAAGCTTGGACTTAAGCAGGAAGATCTTAAGCCCTCCAATACTCCATTACTCGACTTTAGTGGAAAAATAGTTCTTCCTAGAGGGAAAATCACGATGTCTGTGAAGACTGGACTAGTTGGCGCCATAACCAAGTTCCTAGTAGTTGATACAATCTTGGCTTATAATGCGATAATGGGGAGGTCGTGGTTACATGAGATAAAGGTGGTACCATCAACGTACCACCAAATGCTGAGATTCCCTTCGTCTAAAGGAATAGTGAACATCCGAGGAGACCAGATCAGTTCTAGTTTTTGTTTATTGGCCTCGGTCAAAGCTAAAGATGAAAATGGTGGCAAATGAAAATGGTGGCTCCCTTTATTACACGTGTTATAACATTAAATGAGCTCACGTGAGGATGACAAGACGNACGCGAAAGACGCATGTTTCAGAAACAAAAGGATAAAAAAAGTAAACAAATCCACAAAATTCTTGCCCTTTAAAATATAGAAACTATTTTGACCAAAACTAGAACAATTATCGAGGAAGATATACTCGCAAACCGTTGTATTCAGATACAGAAGGCAACATTGACAACACAAGCACATTAGTAGTAATAAAATGCCTTCTTTCCTCTTTCTTCACATATAATTTATTTCATGAAATGCAAGTATACAGTATATTAAACATACATCATTCTGAAAAAAAACAAGAACAAAGGAACACCACTACTAGTGTAGCGAAACANTTCACATATAATTTATTTCATGAAATGCAAGTATACAGTATATTAAACATACATCATACTGAAAAAAAACAAGAACAAAGGAGCACCACTACTAGTGTAGCGAAACGNGCTTGATTCTAGGCCAAGGAAACTACTAGAGAGATTTCAGCAGCTTCTCAAACTGAATCACGAAATGGAAGGAAGGTGTGCCACCTTGAAACGAAAATCATGAAAACCCTAACCAGAGAGGGGTCTATAAAATGAACAAGGAGTCATGGTGAAAAGTACGTTGAACTCTCCTGGTCTTCTAGCAATCATTCTTATTCTATTACTGATTTAAGCATCGGAGTGCCTTTGATCGAAGCACTTCGATCTTGGACAGTTTGTTCGTTTTGGAGAATAGGGAAATTGAGAGATCAAGTTCAGAAATATTTTTTACTAGAAATATCAAATTCAATCTTTACTGATAGTATCATCAATTTTTATCTCTTACAATGGCCATAAAGATAAAATTGAAATTTTCAAGATTCAAATAATATAAAAAAAGAAAGAAATAAAGAAAGAAAGTTGTGCAGGAAAATGCAAAANCGCTCAAAGAAGAGAGGTAAACCAAGTAAAAGAAGAACAGCAAGAGAGCAATGAATAAATAAAACCCTAACATAAACCCAAAAAGAACCGAAGCAAAATACAGGTACTAAGCTTTGAAACTTACACTTGGGCGGCCATTTTTGTCATAATGAATTGCATAACGTTTTAGTTCCCCAATCTCAGAGAAAAGTTCCTGAATTGCAAGTCCATTTTCCAGAGAACGTCATAAGAAATCCATCAGAAAGAAGCATTTAATCAGAAAAAACATGCCTCAAGCTGTACCCTTATATCTTCATTGGTCACTCCAATGTCCAAGTTGGAAACATATAACTTTGTGCCAATTTCTAATCCTGGTAACCCTGCAGCTCTAAGGCTATCTTCAAACAAACCAGGCTGCCATGGCAAACTCTTGGGTCTGCGGAAGGACTGATGCAAGCATACCAAAAACATATCCAGGTTGGGAAAAGCAAATGTCAGCATATGAATATAAGATAATTCACCGTTCTTCAACAGATAATCAGATATCATCTCAGGAGCAGAATCCATTGACATATAAATGCTCATGCAATTAGATATTCTAAAATCGACTGTAAAATTCAGATATAGTACGGATTATAGATGGGAGTAGAGGATTTGACCCACTGCATATAAACTGGTGTTATGCTACAGGAGAGAGCTCCAGTTCTGAAGTTCAGCGAAGGAAGCCCCTTAGCAAATCGCCATGAACTAGTACAGTAACTGAACATCTCGCCCCAAAAAATTCCACATATGGCAATAGGATCCATCATAAACTCCCCGTCTAAAGCAGTAATTGCAAAACTAAAGTGACTGGAACTAAATAAGAAGAATTAGGGATGGGTTCAGAATTTTCAACCCCACTAAATGTTAGCAGATGCTAAATAGGTGAGATCTCAAGTTCTTAAGTCATCTAATGAAGCTCCTCTACATATAAAGCTACAAAGTAGCATTATAACTGAATGAGGCCAGCAAAAGAACTTCCACTTGTGTCAAAAAGCTCCACTGCGAAGTGCTGAATACAACCCACAACAACAGAAAACCATGAAGATCTCAAGTATAAATGCATTGCAAGGCCACAATGCTTTTGCGGCTGAGTCAAAGTGAGCTTCTCCATGAACTAATAGTAGAGGGACTGATCCTTTCAAGTTTGAGTTACAAAAGTAATCTTAGAGATCCTCGTATTTCGATTACTAAAGCATATCAGATTCTCTAGCAAATGTATTAGAGATCCATAGTTTCGAGCTTGCCTTGGCAATGGTATACGCTGAAGGCCGAGTATTCACTCCGAGTGGGCCTCTACGAGGAGCCTGAGTCATTCTTCCACCACTAAATGACCCTCCAGACCCTCGGCCACGTCGGCCCCTACCTCGTCCTCTGCCTCTCTCGTTAGTACGCCTGCTCTTTATCATATCATCAAGTGACATATCCAAAGTAGCCATTGAATTTGCAGATTAAGCAAACCTCTTCCAAAGAGAATAAACCTGAAGAATAACATACATAAGCATCATTTTGAACTTCTTATGACACAAAAAATTGTAGCATGTCATCTTAGCACAAAATGGAATCACATATAGGATATCCCATAGGAAGAAACTTTATCCAAAAGACACACCCAACAACCGATCAATGTCAATGTCAATGTCAATGAAAAATTGGGCAAGTGATGCCAGGAAAGGTAATGGTATTTTTTATGCATGACTGATGATTCTTGTGCAAGTGATCAATGAAGTACACATCCTTCATAACTTGACCAAAAATACAAGATGATAAAAAGTAACATGATAAATAACATTTACTAGGGTATGCACAACAATTACAACATGATAACCAAAAACAAAGAAACTGGTGGTAAAAATGGATCGCTTCTATTTCATGGCAATTCATGTCCCCTACACTGACCGGAAAGGTTCAAGGATTTGCACGCCAATATGCTTAAAAATAACTTAGCGCATTATTGCGCAAGACAGCCCATTAAGAATAAGCCCTGGAGATATGAGCTCAGGAAGTAGCAAACCACAGTTGAAAATAATCGATTGGCCACCACAATGATTCGAAGTGTAATAAAAAACCAATAACAACCCCTTAGAAAATAAAATACTAATTAACTACACCACCATAATTCTGTGTGACAGAGAAAAAAAGAGGTTAAAGCACGAATATATAATTTCACAAATCAAACCAATTCAAAAAGGAAACCACAATTCAAAAAGATTTGCACGCAAGTCATTAAATTTCCAAAAGTAAGCAACAAATTTAAAAACTTAAACCACGAAACCAAAAAAAAAAGTGAGGACCAAAAAAGAATTCCGCCGAGCTCCCCCAGACTAAAACTTCGTTAATCATTTTTTCAAACACAAATGGGTAAAAACAAGACAGTAAACATACAACACATCGAGCCCGGAAGCAACCAGCCCCGAATTTTTACGTAAAAATAGACATACATATCAAATCCGATTTCTGTATGAACAAAGCAGGACACAATAAATCAAAAAATGAGAAATATACATACACATACAGGTACATATATATTCACATAGAGATGTATACACACACACGTATAGCCCGGATATCGGAATATGAAAGGAATCAGGAGAGAAAGAAAGTACCTAGAGAAGTAAATCCTCCACAAGAACGAGCACGAACAAATCTGCGATCTTTGTTTACAGAACTTCGTAGGAAAATGGTACGAACAAATCAGAGATGATGGAAACACCAGAGAGAGAAACGGAGGAGATAGATCGATGGAAGGAGTAGGGAGAAAATTTGTAGAGATCTGATCAGAGCTTGGGGAGATTCATCGATATAGATCGAATTGGGAGCCTGAGATGACAGTGTGTTTAGGGTTTGGAAAAAGGGGCAAAAGCTTTTGAGGCTTTGGTGAGAGACACGGGCTTTTATGTAGGGATGGAAGGCGGTGCTTGGAGGAGTAACTTTATATTGACTAAATTACTCGAATGCCACTAAATTATTCCACTTGTTCCAATTAAGCCCCTCAACTTAAATTTGTCTAAATTTAACCCTCAAACTTTTGAATTTAATTCAGTTTAGCTATTCCATCCAATTCCATTGGATTTTCTTTTCTTTTTTTGGTAAGGGGAAGAGGGATTTTCTTATATTACTAGTATTCTATAGGGCATTGTCTGTACTTTGTCAAACCATTAGATAATTGTGAACAGAGTATTATATAGGGTATTGTTTGTACCTCGTCAAACCATTAGATAATTGTGAACATGTATGTGTGTCTAAATAGAATTACAAGAAAATTGTTTTACAATGCAATAATGACACCTGAAGGGGGTGGCTCCTTTTATTACATGTGTTATAATATTAAATGAACTTACGTGAGCATGACAAGACAAGACACGTAAGAGAGGCATTGGTCACCGAGTCAAATAGGCCTAACCAAACTGGCCAATAAACTCGGCAAGCAGAGAAAGAGCTCGATTCTTGCCAAACTGTGTTGTCCAAGGAGTTAGGGAGTAATGAGAGAGCTCGACACTTATCATGACCGAGCTGTTTCAAATAGAAGATGGAAAGATAAAAGATTCGCCTATAACTTAGGCATCCAAGATAAGCTGATGAGCTTGATTCTAGACCAAGGGAACTGCCAGAGAGATTTCAGCAACTTCCCAAACTGAATCACAAAATGGAAAAAAGGTGTGTCACCTTAAAACGAAAATCATAGAAATCCTAACCAGGGAAGGGGTCTATAAAATGAACAAGGAGTCATGGTAAAATGTACGCTGAACTCTCCTGGTCTTCTATTAATTATTTTTATTCTATAACCGACTTAAGCATCGGAGTGCTTCCGATCGAAGTACTTCGATATTGGATAGTTTGTTGGTTTTACAAAACAGAAAGATTGGAGGATCAAGTTCAAAATCAGAAATATCAAATTCACTCTTTAGTGAGAGGTATCATCGATTTTTATCTCTTACATTTTTTGGCGCCGTCTGTAGAAATTTTTCTTGATTCGAAACAAAAAGCTACGATGTCAAGACTCAGAAGTGCCATTGGATCACTTGTAGGCAGCTTTACCTTGGGAAATTCTGATCCAATATCGCTTCCATCTGGCAGCAACGTTAGGTTGCATGCCAACAGAAGCTCATCTAGACCTCACAAAGATGATAAGGTATCCTCAGCAAGCTTCAAACCATCCAGGGATCAGAATCAGTAGAATGTAGGTCGTGGAGAATCCCTCCGTGCCAAGGGGGAGAACCACTCCTTGGCGAAATTGGTCCAATCCGTACAGGACAGACTGGATGCGAACGACAAATTATTTAAGAAATCCTACGCCAAGGAGAAGGACCTGATAAAGGAGAATAAAGAGTTGAAAGCCAAGCTGAAGGAGATGACCAGAAAAGAGAAACGTGAGAGAGACAGCCGATGAAAAAGTCCCGAAAAGAAACATGACAGAACCAAGAATAACAAGGATGATAAGTACATCACCGAAGAACTGAACAACCGCTTGAGGAGGCCAGAGTAGAGGTCAGCTAGGGACCTAGCCAGAAGGATGACCAGAGAATATGGTGACGGCTCAGAGTCATCTCCCTTTACTTTGTGGATTGAAAGGGGTGTATTCCAAGTAAATTCATCATTCCAAATTTCAAGCTTTACAATAGAAAAATTGACTCAGCTTCCCGCATCAGACATTTCAAACAACTGATGACCATTCATCGATGGAATGAACCCCTATTCTACACAATCTTCCCTAACAACCTTGGGGAGTCGGTCATGAAGTGGTTCGATAGCTTGTCGAAGGGATCGATAGATGGATAGTCACAATTGGTCGAGCAGTTCATAGCTCGGTTCATCACGAGCAGTAAGCAGCCAAAAAGATGTGGGGGATCTGTTGACATTGAAGAAGAGGAATAATGAACATTTGCGAGAGTATGTTCATCGCTACTGGGAGACGATGAATGAGGTTGAAGGATGGAATCCTAAAATTACAGTTACATCATTTAAAATCGGGTTGCCAAAGAAAAATTCGTTCTACCAATCACTCACTAGGAGGCCAGCGACAGACCTGGAAGAACTGATGGCAAGGATCAAAAAGTATGTCAAAGTCGACGATGACCTATCCAGGGATGTGGTTAAGGAACATCAAGGCAGGAGATAGTTTGGCCGTGATAAGCAGACCGAACCAAGCAGGGAAGGGGGAAGAAAGAATGCGAAGGAAAGATATCCCTAGAAGTCCCATTTTCTTAGGGTAAATTCACTGTTCAAAGAACCCATATACAGGATATTGAATCAAATCAAGGGAAAGCCATTTTTCAAGTGGCCTAACAAGTTGACAGGGGATCCTAAGAAAAGGAATTCTAATTTCAGATGCTCATATCATCGGGATGTAGGTCACTTGATTGAAAATTGCCGATCTTTGAAGCAGTATTTGGAAGAGCTAGTCCAGGCTGGGCATCTCACCGAGTTCATCGAAGCTAGTGCAAGAGCCGACAGGGGAAGGCCCGAACCAAAAAGAGATCAGAACACACCAATAGGGGTAATAGATGTGATCCATGCTGCAACGAATC